AATTCTTCTGCCTCAGCCTTCTAAGTAGCTGAAACTACATACACGCGCCACTATGCCCAGCTAATGTTTTATTTATTTGTTATAGATACGAGGTCTCACCAAGTTGCCCAGGTGGGTCTCGAACCCGCAGGCTCAGGCAATCCACTCACCTCAGCCTCCCAAAGCACGGGATTTCAGGCTGAGCCACCGAGCCCGGCTGAAGAACTATTTAATGCCACACAGCAAGTGGGTGGCAGTACAAAGATTTTAAACCCAAATCTATCTGACTCAGACGCCAGGGTTCTTTCTAAGCATAGTACCAGGCCAGGTGCAGTGGTGCAAGCCTATTCCAGCACTTTGGGGGGTGGAGGTGAGAGGATTGCCTAAGCCCAGGAGTTCGAGACCAGCCCGGGCAACTTGGTGAGACCTCGTCTCTATAACAAATAAATAAAACATTAGCTGGGCATAGTGGCGCGTGTCTGTAGTTCCAGCTACTTAGAAGGCTGAGGCAGAAGAATTACCTGAGCCCAGCAGATTGAGGCTGTGGTGGCTAGGAGCGTGCCACTGCACTCGAGCCTGGACAACAGAATGAGACTCCAACTCAAAAGAAAAAAAAAGACATAGCAGTACCTTTGATTAAAAACTAGAGGGGAGGCCAGGCTCAGTGGCTCAGCCTGTAATCCCAGCACTTTGGGAGACTAAGGCAAGTGGATTGCCTGAGCCCGTGGGTTTGAGACCAGCCTGAGCAACTTGGCAAAACCTCATCTCTACAATAAATCAAAAATTAGCTAGGTGTGGTAGCGTGCACCTGTAGTTCCGGCTACTTAGAAGACAGAGGCAGAAGGATTGCTGGAGACCAGCAGGTTGAAGCTGGGGTGGCTGTGAGTGTCACTGCACTCCAGACTGGGCAATAGAGTGAGACTCAAAAAAACAAAAAATAAAACTAGAGAGGAGTTGGCCGCAGTAGTGCATGCCTATAATCCCAGTTTTTTGGGAGGTGGAGGTGAGAGGATTGCCTGAGGCCAGGAGTTCGAGACTAGCCTGGGCAACTTGGCAAAGCCTTGTCTCTACAATAAATAAAAAAATTAGCTGGGCATGTTGGTGCATTCCTATAATTCTACTTGGGAGCCTGAGGCGGACGGATCACCTGACCCAGCAGGTTGAGGCTGTGGTGGCTGTGAATGTGCCATTGCACTCCAGCCTAGGTGACAGTGAGACTCCAACTCAAAAAAACCCAAACAAACCAAGGGGTATTGGGGAGTATGAGACCCAGGGTCCAGCCCCCTCCCCCACCACACCCAACCCACCCCTAGGGCTAGTTCCCTCACCTTCACCCTGTCCGCACTACTATTGAAGAGCCCAATTCGTCGGATGGTGGTCAGGATGGGGTCTGAAGAGTCGTCCAGCATATTGTGGGTGCACACGGGAGGAAAAGACTGCCGCTGTAGGGGCCAAAAATAGGGTATGGGTCAGGAAAAGCACAGAGAACCCACTACTTCCCTACTGAACCCAAGGAGACCACAATTCCCACCAGGTTGTGAGGCAATACACCCAAGAAATCATTAGGAGTTGTGGATTTCTACTTGGCTCCATCTGTTGTAAAGGTTTTCTTTTCCTTAACTCCCATGTGCCTAAAATAACTACAATTCCCAGCAGCCTTTGAGACAGAGCCAATGTTAACTTCCCCTTTCCCAAAGGGTTATGGGGAGTTGTTGCTATCTTGTTCTGTACACTTGGCTCTGCCATTACAGAAACCCAAAGGAACTACAACTCCCTCCAGTCAATGGAGGAAGAGACTGTTCCAATATGGCAGCAAACTTTGAGGGCTGCTGGGAGTTGTGTTTTATGAAAAGTCATCTAAGAGACAGGCATGGTGGCTCAAGCCTGTAATCCCAGCACTTTGGAAGGAGGAGGGAAGAGGACTGCCTGAGTCCAGGGATTCGAGACCAGCCCAGGCAATTTGGCAAGACCCCATCTCTACAATAAATAAATAAAAAATTAGCCAGGCATGGTAGTGTGCGCCTGTAGTTCCAGATACTTGGAAGGCTGAAGCGGAAAGGTCACCTGAGCCCAGTAGGTCGAGGCTGCGGTGGCCATGAGCATGCCACTGCGCTCCAGCCTGGGCAACAGGGTGAGACTCCAACTCAAAAAAAAAAAGAAAAAAGCCAGGCTCAGTGGCTCAGCCTGTAATACCACGCCTTTGGGAGGTTGAGGTGAGTGGATTGCCTGAGCCCATGGGTTCGAGACCTGCCTGGGCAGTGAGACCTCATCTCTACAATAAATAAATAAAAAATCAGCCAGGCGTGGTAGCGCGCGCCTGTAATTCCGTCTACTTGGAAGGCTGAGGCAGAAGGATCTCCGGAGCTCAGCAGGTCGAGGCTGCGATGGCTGGGAGCGGCCGCTGCACTCCAGTCTAGGTGATGGAGTGAGACTCCAACTCAAAAAAAAAAGAAAGAAAGAAAGAAAAAAAATTCACCTAGGCCAGGTGCTGTGGCTCACACCTGTGATCCCAGCACTTTGGGAGACAGAGGCAAGAGGATTGCCTGAATCCACAGGTTCTAGACCAGTCAGGGAAACTTGGGTGAGACCTGGTCCCTATGATAAATCAAAAAAAAAAATTTTTTTTTTTGAGTTGGAGTCTCATTCCATCACCCAGACTGGAGTGCAGTGGCCTCTCCCGGCCACCGCAGCCTCGACCTGCTGGGCTCCGGCGATCCTTCCGCCTCAGCCTTCTGAGTAGCCGGAATTATAGGCGTG